TATGCTTCGTGGCGGTTTAACGCGACCTTGGTGAACGTACTTCGCGCGCATATCGTCTCGCGAACGCGCACAAACAAAACCAGCGGGGATTCGCGCGAGTCATCGAGAATATTTTATAACATTGAGAATATTTTATACGAAGATACTCTCTCTCGGAGAGATAGAGTACATATTTTATATAAACTATCGTATACACTATCGTTTCGAGATTTTCTCACAGCGAGTTTTTCAATTACGTAAGTTTTTTAAAGGAAGTTTCTAGAACGTAATAGAAAATAATATGCAAAAGGAAGTGATTGGAATAACTAATTCAAATATAGGTTATTTTGTTTAAAGTTACAGCAACATTTACATAATGTGCAACATGCAAATCAATCGATCGGTCTTTTTTCTCTCTTTTCCACTTACTGTACTATTTTTTTTTTTTTTTTAGTTTCTCGCAATATTCACTTGCGCTTAAAAGAAAAAACAACATTCGCGGGATGCAACCTGCAACTCCGTCGGAGGGATTGTCGTGTTTGTTCGAACTGCGTTCTCCATGTCGTCTTCGTGTACAAAATAACGCACTTAATTTTCACCTCGTGAATCGATCGTAGAAACGGCACGAACGGAAATATGGCTTAATGTGCAGCTCCTTCTCGGACCGCCGAGGGAGAAAACGATATTTCTCCCTCTTTTCCCCTCCGCTCCCTCCCCTTCCTCTCATCCGCGCCCTTTTTAATAAAAATATTTTCCTCCTTCTCTTCTCGATCGCGGGCCCTTTCTCCACTTCGAGAGAACCTGACTGTCGTCTTTCTCTCTTTCTCTCTCCTCTTCTCTTTGTCTCTCTCTCTCTCTCTCTCTCTCTCTTTCTCTCTCCCTTCGACCGTTCTCATCGACGCGCACCACGCTGTTAGGGTGAACGCGATTCGGGGTCCCCCCTAGCCTTCCTTATGGAGGCACTTAGTGTGAAGGTATTTGTCTATCGAAAACTAAACCCTCGTTACTACTCCGTGCACTAGAAAATCTGTCCCCTACGCGCGACATATCTACGCAACACCGAGAAACCCGGTTTTTCGTTGTAACGTGCAATAGCACGTCCCCCGACACGATTTGTGGACTCGCGAAGGAAAAGTAGAAACTAATCGCAAACGTGATCGATCATATATATATATATATATATATATATATATATATGTTGCACGATGTACTCGCACGCGTTCGTGCGCGTGCATTTGCGCGAAAAAAATTTTGTGACGAGTCACAGGAGAAAAACAATGTAATTTAATAATTATTCGTATTTTATGATCTGCAAAATACTTGTAAATTATGCAAATTGACAGTATACGCAGATAATCATTGATCAATGATGTAATTGAAATATAAATAAGTCTCAACGAAACGGTGTGTAATACACATTGTGATTTTATTACTCTCTTGGAAAAAAATGTGTGCGTCTCTATGTGCGCGATTGGGCGTTGCATCGCGATAAAGTTCGCGTTGACGCAACATCCTTGAACTAAATGCCATCGGTTATTTCAACAGCTCGATGTGTGTTTCGATGATATTTCAAATGCATCAAAATCATCCACAGAAAAACGGAGCTCCTGTCATGCAAAATGCTCCCTCCTTCTCCTCCCTCCATTCACCCACAACTATCCTACGCATCTTCGATCCACACTGTATATGTATACACCCGCGCACGATTATTATTGCCGAGGGCAAGGGACGGAAGGGTGGATTTTGTTTTGCAGTGTGTGTATGTGTGTGTGTGTGTGTGTGTGTGCGCATCACCTAATACAGCGTGTTGAAACAAGATGCCATTGTAAAAATAATCGTACAACTGTGTGTTTTAACAAACGCGATCCGGTCTCCGGCAATCAATCGACTACATTGTAGTTATGAAGTTACCTTTGATACACTCTGTATATACACGTGCATATACACTGTGCAGGTTCTCCCTCTCTCGAATACTTTATCTATCTCTACCTCTTTGTCTCTCTTCCTCTCTTCGTGGTCGGTACTCGCGAGTTGCTGCCTCGGGGCGAGGGATAAGAGTGCGTCAGTGCTGTACATATTTGCACCATCTCCCCGATGCCAGAATCCTAGTGTGGAAAATTCAAAAACTTTTCAACCACAATTTCAGATCGAACAGTAAATAATGAAATGGAACATATTTTTAACTCGTGCGAAAACCAGATCGCAATTTATTTTTTAAAGACACTGACGCAAATATTTTCAACTGTTTGCCGCGCTTGTTCATCTCACGAAACGTTTATGACACACGGATTTTACAGAAATATTAAATATATTATTTTTTGCCGAACATCCACAAATTGTTACTTTTACACATTGTTAAAAACATCAGAGAATATTGTGTGCTGCAAGAGTGACATCTGAAACTGAAATATTCGTTTCGATTGACGATCTGCACGCAGTTATTACGCTGTTCGCTTGAAATTTGTTACATCGAAGGCATCTTGATCCGTACCTGCGCCGCGATTCCGCGGAGCGGGGACGGCGAGGACGACAACGACGGCGGTGGCGGCGGCGGCGGCGGCGGCG